CAGGCCCCAATTTTTCGCTGGCATTGGCTTTCCAAACACGAATATTCATTTCATCAGATCCCGAAAGCACGAATTTATTGTCAAGAGACCAAAGTACAGAAAGTACTTCCTGCATCCTTTTTGTGTGGTAAATTTCCCTTAAAAATTAATTGGTAAAAAATATAAAAAAACGAAACAATTTTGGAAATTAACATACCTGCTGACATGTGACTCAACTGGATATATACGCAAGGACCTATCATAACTTCCTGAGACAAATTCAGTTCCAGTAGGAGAATAATCTACGTCAAGAACCGCATTCGTATGCCCTTTATGCACCCTCCGTGGTTCTGACAGTTTTCGAATGTCAAATGTATATAAACTGAAATAGAATTTCATTTTTTGGTTGTCGGTGCCAGTACGGGGTTAAAACGTAATTTTAAAAGCTGATGGTGAAATTATAAGAAGAAAATTAGAAAACCAAGACGACCCTTACTCAAACTATACTTGAACTCGAATAAGTATCATTCAGTTCACAAAATACAGAAACCATACATTTATTAATTGTAAAAACCCACGTACTTACTGAATTTATAAGGAAATGATTTTGAATACGTTGCTCAAAAGGTATTAAGGAGTGTTCACAAAGCTCAGCTTTACAGTATAGCCGCTACCACAAAATTTCGAAACATCCATGAAACGACAGGTACACTTTTTAAAGCTAATCGGTTGCAACAGATTTAACAAACTAACTTGTAGTCGTCATTAGCAACAGTAAAAGAAATCGCTTCCATTGGATTCCAGGCTACAGAGTTTGGACGCAATTTCATCGTGACCTAAACTGATTTAAAGTAAAAATAGCCTATGAGAAACAATTTTTCTGGCCAGGTTTTTTAAAGTTACAAAATTCAAAACGCATTATAAAAAAACGCATCAAATTACTACACAATATTTATCACAATGTATTACTTTACATCGAGAAAAACAAAATAGTACTTTTTTTAGAGGAGTTTTCTGCCTCGCATCCAATAAAAATAGCGAACGATCACTACAGCAGCCAACTAGAACATCTGTCTCTACAGGATTGAATTTAACTGCATGTATCGTATCTACTCCAAGACGATAAATACGTGTTGGAGCATCCCTAATAAATCATTTAGTATAAAAAGCTACAAATTCATTGAGTACAAATAAAGAGGACCCTATCTTTTACTACTACTACGCAAAATAAAGATTGAAATTTTCAGAAAAACCTGGAATCTGGATATAAATTCAAAGAGTCAGCACATCATAAAACTGTTAAAAAAGCACTATTCTTAAAATAAAAACTTGAATCACCTCGATGGTCTCCAAATTTGTACTTCTTCACCACAAATTGCAAAACTATCAGATTTTACATTATGAGAAACACCATAAGCTACACCATTTAATGGAACTGAATGAAACGGTTCGCTTATACTGTCGCTGATAACATCTGGACAACGCCAATGCTTCATCTGTGAATCATTACCAACAGAAACGAAAGATTCTCCATTCAGCGTATCGACAGATAATCCTAAAAAGCAACAAATCAGAGACAAATTAAAGAACAGAAATCACAATAAAATCCATCAAATTGAAACATATTAAATCACACATCCTTTTACCTCCTTCACCCCCTACCCCGCTAAAAAACTGAAGTAGGAACTAACAATTACAAAGAGAAGAAAGACTTCAACTCCCAACCGTTAACAGGGCCATTATGTGCTTGAATAGTAGCTAAGCATTTTCTAGTTGCTAAATTCCAAATTCTTATCTGTCCGTCACGACCACCAGATAAAACAGTTGATAACCTAAAACTAATTGTAAAAACTACGGTCTTGCCGTTTAATAAATAAATCCGCTAATGTATCCAATTCACGCATTACCTCAAAAAATGTTTGGCAAGGATATTTATACCGTCGCTATGGCCATCCAAACTGGCTATAAACGGCTTAGCAAAAACCCTAAAAATCGTATGAAAAATTGAAAATGTTGAAGCAATATTGACTTTTCCATGACTGTACAGTACCACCGCATCTAAAGAGTTTGTAAAAAATGCTTATCTTTAAAAGTTCTTATAATCCAGATTAGTGTACTTACTGTCACACTTTAATACACACAAAAGAAAATTAACAAAAGTGAAAGGTGAGTGACAATGACTAATTAAACCTGTTTAATTTCGCTGCATTTAAAGCTCTAGTGTACTCTGTTAACATCTGAAAAGGATCCTCTGAACTACCAAAGTTTCTCGATGCTAAAAAAAGTATATGACTTAACCTGCAAAGACGAAAGTAAAAACTTTCATTTTGAGGCAATTCCGCTAAGAATGAACCAAATAAGACTTCTTAAAGACCTTAGAAAACATTTACAAGACTTTCATAGTCTCTAAAACCTCAAAAACATTTATCAAACGAATGGTAAGGAGCAATACTCACCTTTGTAAAGATCATTTTTCGTTTCCCTCTGATAATCATCCGGATTTCTTGACAAAACTTTCACCTTCATATTCAAATGCTAGTGTCATACATAAAAAATAATATATATTTCAAAATGCTCAAGATTTTTCGAGCCTGAAGGGAATACAACCAAATAGCACTGCGGTAACTTTCTTATCCTGTACTCAATGAAAGCCTTCCTTCGATAAAACGCGAACCAGCAAATGACTGCCATAAAATAAGAACCTCATCTCAAGTATGAAGAAGAATAGAGTTTTTTCAAGTACCCAAAAACAAAAAAAAAAAAAATAAATAAATGCAACAAATTTACCTCTTCCACTTTAAACTGCCAAGAAAAACCACTACTATAGAACCAAACAATAATCCAAAATGCTCGAAAACATAAGAATTCGAATAACCAATCCTGCTTGAACTGTAGTCTTAATAAGCAGATATTTCGTACAACTATAGTCTTCACGCTAAAAAATTGATACATATCCAAGACGAGTCAAAACTTCAAACAAAAAGGGAAAAAAAATAAGTGTTCCAATGAGGTGCCCAGATTTCCTCTGTCAAAGCAAAACTGCACTAAACAAAAAAAAAATTTATTTTTACGGTACACATCTGACAGATAAACTTAGGAAGAATTCTAGCATGTAAACTTTCAAAAGTTCCACAAAAATTGTATCATATCCTTTGAACTCGTATCACTTCGGGTGATAAACCTACACCAAAGGTACGTAATTGATTTAACCAAAATATACATCTGCATTTACAAGAAGAAAAGTTTGAAGCGCGTTGTTCTTCAAATAACTACGTTTTCATAAGACCACTAACTAAGAGAATCAAGAGGAATTAAAAGATAAAGGACAGAAAGAAGACAAATATGGAAAAGCGACACGTTATAACTGGACAGTGTCTGCAGCATACGACTGGTAGAAATAGTTGACTCAGAATCAGAGTGAAGGATGAAAAATATAGATTAACTTAGAAATTGGAACTATGCCAAAAATCCGGTATTGCATTTCCAGACGACTGACTAACCGTACAACGACACTCTGCACGACGGCCTAGTCACTGAACCAGATCGTAAACATTTCCTAGCTTTTTCACGTGAGGGAAAATATCTAATCTATGTGCTTCTTAATTACTAACCTATATGTAAAGAATATAAGCTTTAATCGGCTATTCATTTAGCAGCCATTTTAGTAGGCTCTTTGCAGGTAATATTCAAAGGTGTGTCATTTAAAAGCTATACCTTTACAATTTAGAACTTCTTGAAGATGTCAAACGGACGAGCTTAAGGAAAGCATTCGCTTTGAAATCCGGGACATGACAACCAGGAGCATTTACTGGACACAAAACAATAAAGTACTTTGAGTAATTTTCGGAACTGAGATGCTTATTGGGTCTTACAGTTCACTGTATCAAATGATGTAACTGACATAGTAGTCTAGAAATGAACATGAAAGTAGTCTACCTGTCGCATCTGTGTATTTCTGTGCAGGAATCGAAAAACTATGAACTGTTTTTAAGGAATTGTTTCAATTAGACATTACTCAGCGCAGAGAAGTGACTTCTGTAATTGAAGGGACTTCATTATTTGTTTTTATTATATTGCTCTTGCGCGAACTTAGTAATTGCGATCAGGGAGAATCCTTATGCAGGAAACCCACATTGAGGTGACCGATTTACGTACAGAAAGAAAAATTATTGTATACAACATAAAAAAGAGGACAAATAGGTCGACTACAAATTTTACAGGAATGGCGGTGAATCCTACAGAACTTTGAGCACCTCTTAGGAAGAAGCTTCTGTTTTGTTTCATTCGTATTCACACCACTTCAGACCTATATCCAAGGAAGTTGTGACTTCACCGTATACGGAAGGAGTTCCTGATTACTCAGCGTAGCGTAAAGCCTAAGAAGCAAAAGATGATTATCGGTGAAATACTGCCCGAAACTAATATACGGGATCTTGCAAATGGTTAGTCGATTAATTTTTTCAGAAATTATTAGGTATAAGAGCTGTCTGATGAACATATTTAAACTTTAAAACCACAGTTCTGTGAACCACCTTTTTCCATGAAAACTTCCGACATCCACTCCCTGGTCATTACGGCCATTCCACACTGCATTCAAAACTTTCCAAATAAACACCAACACTTTCTTACCATACACTTTGTTCTTTTATTTTCGCACAGCAATTACAGCTGCAGTTCTTAGAGTTTCTGTCACATAAGTAACATCTTAAGAGATACACCCCAGACGGTATCCCAGTCAAAAGGTTCTAGAATGGAAAGAAGAGACAGAAATTTCACACCAAAGACAAAATCTTACTAACTTTCTTGACGACAGTTGTGGTCCTCGATACATCTGCAATTCAATTGCTGCGCGCACTGGAAAATCCCAGATCCTACCGTATACACCGACTCTAAAGTATATTGCAACTTCCAAACCTAACATGAAAACCATAACAGTGACTTGATCTACCAGCTTTTTAAATCAAAACTACCTCAACGGCGTAGTCCGAGACTAACTGCGGAGCTAGCTAGATGCTTCCTATGTAGAGGCTGCTTTCTTTATATTTTTCGTGACACGTAGATTTATCAGAACAATTGTTTTGGTTTCATCTGCTCATAAAGACACGCTTGAACAACATCCTAGTATCAGAATATTACCTACTGCATCAAAATTTACCAGTAAACGAGGCAGATATGAGTACCTATTTCCAAACGACCAAAACTGCACTCGACGCAGAAAGTGTATACCATATAATTCCAGAAGCTTCCTCATTAACTTCAATAAGCAGAACCTTTTGCAAAGTACCATAGAGAATTCTCGCAAAGCCAAAGAATGGATAAGTATGATGCGACTTGGAACGATGGAATAGTAGCATAATAGCTTTTGTACATGAAGTTTTTGCCACACTTGTTCTCCATAGTTTAAACACTCAGAATACAGACCCTTACTATGCAAGTATCATGATTGCTCTTTTCCTTTATTTGCAAAAAATTCAAAGGAGACCCTTGGACTTGACAGTAATCTAAAGGAGGCTCATCGTACACTACTTATGCACTTAACATTGAAGAAAAGCGGAAGTTGAACTTTCATAGGCGGTTCACTAGCACATAAGTCGTATACATCAAGGCCAAACCTTCTAGCCCACTCAACGCATTTTTCAAACATCATGAGCACAACATAAGCATCTAACGCAGCGTACCGAGTCTGAAATTTATAAATTTATTTCATTTCGGAACTCCTTCCTAAGATTATTATTGTAGCAACATCTATGTCAAAACAAACTTGTAAGTCTCTCAGTGGTCTTCTGTCCCAGACTGAGCACTGTTCGGTCTTATCCAACGGGGATCCGAAAAGAAATTCACAATATCCAGACAATCCTGTGCGTAATATCTTCCTTTTTTTCTCATCAAGAAAACCTGCTCTTTTGCTAGGAACAGCTTTCTTCTAAATAAAGTTCTTATTGGAACACTCAAAAAAGGTTATGCCGCGTGGATTATTCATTGAAATGGAAGCGAGCGGAATAAACAAGGCAGAAATAAATGCTCTTCAATCCTTTTACAGCAATCCTTGTATACCGCAGAAGCATACCATTTTCTTGTCCGATACGGTTTCCAACATTTTCTCCTCATCACTGGAACTACGTCTCCGAGAGCAAGTGTTTTCAGGTATCTCTTCAGTAATCGATGCTTCGCTACTTCTGTCGTCCTCTGAATCCACCTCACCAACTTGAACCTTTACATCGCTCTCACCATCAACGGTTCCGCTCGGTGTCAAGACTCCTTCAGTATCTTTCAAATTTTTAAGAGTTAACGCATCTACGACGTTAATGATACCGTCCAAACCAACGTCAGGATGCTTTGAACTTTCGCCTAGGAGCTGAAAACTGATTTAGATGTCCAGTGCCAAACATAACTGGTATGCGCTGGCAGAGAGCTAAACCTCCTTTTTTTAAACCTAATTCTTGAAAAGAAGAAAATCTGGTAGAACTTTCCACGAATCTTAACAAATAAAACCGGAAAAGTAAAACTCACCAAAGATTTACAATTAAAGAAAAAATTTTTAGTTTTAAATAAAAATTCTTACTCAGTTTCACTAATTTTGGAGAGTGAAATCAGGCCAAATTCATAATAAAGCGAAATTTTCAGAGTCGGATCATAATTCCCATAATGAACAAAATAGTGCGAAAGAAAAAAAATTATGCGAAGAAGATTAAATTAAGTAAAATCGTTGTGAAAATTTCCAATACTCAAAAACTAAATCAGTAAAATGTTTTGAGCCAAACCTACAACTGCTTACTTTAGCACCATTTAGAAGATGAAGTTAGAACTAGATTGTCTTGACATGAAGGTCACTTTTGTAGAGTAGTTATAAGCAGCATTAAAATATCAAAATATGACATGACCACTATTTCTCTTGAAAGTTGCCAACTTTCAATACGTAACATTTAGCGCGTTATTGAATGTTTTTGACAAATCCCCTTACAGAACAAAGAAAATCGTAACATAAATAGGCATAAAGTAAAAGAACAATACAAACTCAAGTCAACCAAAAAACTACATTTTATAATCAGTGAATAGGTATAAACCAAGCCCACTGTAATATAACTTAGAAATAACCAACTCTGTTCACTATTCTGTCGACGCATATGAGATTCTTCGGATTATACAGGCTTTCGCAGATAGGAACTGCACGACAGATGTGAGTCAGATCCTCGCTAAACTGAAAACCTGAAAGTTAAAAAAATCATGAAAATTGTAGTGCAAAGACAACCAAAATATTGACAAATCCAGACGAATTGCATACCAATTTTTGTAATTCTTTTATCGCCAAACAACTTTGACAAGAACTCATTTAAATGCTTCCGTTCCAGTCCGTCAAGATCGAGGATGTACACATTGTTTGGGAAAGCTATTTGTAAAATGGTAGCTCTGAAGAAAGTAAAAAAACAGCAGTACTAACTACACCGCAAAAACCTAAATCTTTTCAAAATGCTAAAGAAATTTGACGTAAACGTTTCAAACTAACAATTTACAACCGCCCAATGAAACGTTCAGTCGAAGTGGGAAGAAAAAAGCTAAATTATTTTGCGGCATAAGCATGGCCACAGGCATATTTGAAAAACAAGTGACTCAAAAGATGTAAAACAGACTTTGGATAGGAACGATACGAAGACCATTCAGAATCTAATGCAGCCACCGGACGATTGTCGTAGCTGTAATTCTCCAAAAAAGCTGTCAAACGTTGCAACTTTTCCAAATCGTTTACGAAACTGACAGAGCTAACATTTTCAGGAATACTCAAGAATGGCGAATTAGATGTCCAAAAGTTGACAGTCGTATTTTCGCTAGAAAATGTTACAGTCTAGAGGAACTTCATCAAAGAAATTCAATTTTCTCCACGATATCCAACAGCAGAAAAAATAAATAAAAAAACTTTCACACCTGCTATTAAAGATATTTTTGATTCAAAACCATACAGTGAACAGCTTAAAAAATACCCAGAATAATCCAGTCCCTGTACCTCACTGTTTTAACATTCATAACTAGTTTACTTGAGTCTGACTACTCAATACAACAAATGATACATTAAGAATAACGACCACTACAAGTATCTTCCCTGCTGACATCAGTAAAGCAAAAAGGAAAAATTGCTGCCTGGAGATATATCAGGCAACCAATAAGATCCAATAAAAAAGTGTGAGAAGATGGCGGTTCTTCTTACAGTAACAAAACTTAAGTAGCGCTAATTTATGCTAATTCCTCATTCTAAACCTGTTATTGGTCAATATGTAAACTAGATTTCTGAAAAAAGATACTATATTAAGGCGGAAAAAGAAATTGGTTAATTTTGATATGTTGCTTAGAACTGTATTCTGAAAAATCTTATCCCCCTCCTTAAGAAAAGCAGTATCTTGGGAATAAAAAAAAATACTGACAACGGAGGGACATCCTGCGGTAAACGAGATTTCATTTCAGTTACTATCCATCTCCTTGCCATCTCTGAATCACCATACTTCTTTTCAAGGAGGTTTATGACGAATTTCTTCATTGAAGGACGCTGTTGTAAAACAGTGTACAAAACTTCATGAAGTTGCTCCGCCTGCAAATATACACTTTGAGAACCATCAGAGTATCTGTTTATAAACGGAAGGTGCCATTAAAACTGATAAATAAACTCAAATTAACGACTTTAAATAAACAGAAGTATTTACCTTCCATATCTTATCGACATAGAAGTTTTTAGCACACTGTTTAACAACCGCATAAGCGTACCCCTCATCAATTGTACCATTAGCCAACGTTTGCTTCCTCAAATCTTTTACCAAATTTGCGATACTACGGCAAAACTCTTCATATGAGAGCAGTTTTGCAAACAACTTCGCTTTATGTAATGCGAACTGTTCTCCTTAAAGCTTTTCTTTAAAAACAATTTTCGTGACCATCATACGTTAGCTAAACTCCTCAAACTCTTTTCTATAATTCGTTTTAGACAAAACATCATCCTGCCTGACAATGTAGCTTTCAATAAGCTACTCTTTTAAGACCTAGAATAGCCATTTACTAGTAAAAGCAGTAAAATTTCAGCATAAGGTAAACCAGTAAAAACCCCACTAAAAGATCACATCTTTTTCCCTTCTACACCAGAAAAGCCGAAGAGAGGACTTGCGCTAACTACTAAAAATACACCTCAGCCTAAAAATTTTCGTTACTTGCCCACAACAGTTCCTGAATTGAAAGCACAGCGCAAACTGCTTGTAAAGCCATCAGAAATACAGGCCGCCAGTAAACCAAATTTTTCCTTCTTATCCCACCAAGTATCCAAAAAATTCAATCACCCCTCCTCTTTACTAGTTTTTCCTTCTAAAAATCCTTCACCTCAGGTTATTCGGCATTTTCATATCCATTTGCTACAGTATGCACTGACTCCCCCATGATAGCTTAAATAGTAACAATCAGTTCTGGCCGAAATCGCTTTGCATATTAGAACTGCTGTCATCAAATCTTTTCTATCTGTTCAATGTTTCTGAGAAAAAAAGAATTTTTCAATGCACAACTGCAGAGATAATTACGAAGTGCGAAATTAAAGTAAAATGAACTAAAAATCTTTCAAAAATTTGTAAGTTGAAAAACTAATTTTCTTCTACACCGCATCGTGTCATGCACAGTTCTGGTACTTCCTCATGCCAACTGGTTTCAAATATCAAAAACACTCCCCTTCCCTTCTTAAAAAAAAAGTGATTACGCTCTGCAGGATAACTCGTAAGATTTTATGTAATCACAAAATCTTAAAGTCCTGGCAAACTGCCAAATCTATTGAGATTGAGAACCACACTGTGCATTCTGTTTCTATTTAGCGGTACAAGTTCATTGACAGAAAGAAATCTGAGTCAAAAGTCCAAAATTTAAGCGTCAGTGGTGTCCTCTTGAATACTTATCTAATTTAACATAGAACTAAAAAGTAGCCAAAATCAAAAATGCTACAACTATTCAAAAAGTCGAAATAACTCTTTTAACATCCGAACGGCGATAAGAAAGGGGAACATGCAGATTCCTAGAAACTTCTGCGAATGTCCCCAGCTTGTAGCAAAATATCATCACCGTACGCCAAGTTCTTCCAAGAAAGGATTTTAAACGACAGTAAAAAGCTAAACGTAAAAAAATTTGCTAACAATCAAGGAGTAAATGTTACAAACGTGCTTTATAAGTGAAAAACCGAGTGAACCTAACAGAGATCTATATATATCTGACAAAAGATACTTCACGTTATCATATGCATCAAGAAAAATCAGCGATTTATTTACAAATACAGCTGCACTTAATCCTTTATTTCATAAAAACCTTTAAAGCGTTGAAATCCAGATTTATTTACATTGCTACTTTCCTGTCAGCTGAAAAATATATCACTAAATTCTCCAATTTTCCACATAACAGATTTGTCTTCAGACCAAAAAGGTCTAAATAATAAAAAATAAGCTACATCGTCCCCTTCCTCAACTTCCCTATGTGACTCATAATAAAAATTTAAGAAAGTTTTTCGAAATCACTTCACATTTCAAGACCGATAAACCTAAATTTTTTAGGAAATTTAATTGTAAAGAACCTGCTAAACACCCTAACACTGTCATGCTATGAAGATTAAATAGTCACTGGTTGGAAGACAATTATATAAACTCCAGAAGATCTCAGGCTCAAAGGCATCCTTCCACTCATACCGTAATTTATATTTGTTTGAATATTTTTTGGAGATATATTATTAAAGAAACCGTTACTGAAACTCACCCAACGCGGCTTCCCAAATGCTTGTGGAAAGTGTACATGACTCAAGCCTGAAAACAATACGTCGGCATTCCTCCCTGAATTCTAATGAACGCTCGCTGGCGAAATTTTCCACGTCTGAAGCTGACAGCGGTCCCAGTAGAGCGACAGTAAATAAAAGTGAAGGGTCTTGTAAATAACGATTTAATCCCCTCCGCCTAATGATATATATCAATACAGTGTAGCTGCAATAGTCATAAATAATGTGCGATGACAACCTCCATTAACAACCTTTTGGGATTTTTATTATTTTTTCTTATAAAACTGAATCTTCGATAAGGACAAGATGTATACGCTACCGTGTTTCATCGACTATACTGAACTTTAAAATCTGTTGTCAAAACGAAGCAAGAAGAACCTCCACATGCACAATAATTTCTTGTTTTAAACGTTAAAAGTCAAAATTAGGGGTTCTAGACGTCTCTAAAACAGTTTTACACCATTATTTTACAGTTCTCTACTACATATTCCCTTTTGTCCTCTCTTATAACAGTATCCGACTTTCTTTCTTCTATGGCTGTCAAGAAAATATCGATATCCCAAAACGACTGAAATGAAAACAAAGAAAGGAAAGACATAACTGTTAAGATAACTTGAAAATTTTGGTAAAAAAAACTTTTGAACCAACAACCACTGAATTTTTTATATAAAATTCACAAGAAAAAAATAATACAGGAAAGTCGCATCTATTCACGTCTCCCAGAAAAGAGAACTGAACTGCAATCAATTAAAATACTATTGGACCAAAAGAGGTTCAGCGCCAATGTAAAACGATATCCCGACACAAATAAGTTTTAGCAAAATGAAGAGAAAAAGAAAGCCCGAAATGATTTAGGAAGCCTTTTCTCAATACATACTTTTTTATATACCCGGACATTATCAAACAGAATTCGTCTCGATAGAACAGTTTTAATGCATGTTTTAAGGTTAACAAAGACAAAATAAAAGGTAGATATAAATAAAGGTCAGATGCGAAAGGAGGCTTAAACTCAAAATTGTTAGATGCTTATAACAGAAAATTAGAAATATGTTAATTAAAAATAAGTGATATACAGAGAGGCACATCTAAACGTAGATCGCTGAAAAACTACGACCTAACGATGCGGCGAAAACAAAAAGACTGGTTCGGCAATAAATAAATCAGCTCGATATGCGATGGTTCAGGGAATAGAGTCTTAAAATAGAACTTAAGTCTCAACCAACTTTAATGTCCTAGTTCTGGATTCTGTTGACCTAAACAATTGTGCAATGTTCCTTAAACATCATCTGAAAGTAAAGTTTTTGAGACGCCGCCTGGCTAGAAAACGTAAAAAACATGCTGATTTCGTTGTAACTTGTGGAGCAGACAATAAAGTTTTAAAAGGGTAATGAACAAAACCTTCTGAAAAAAATCTCGAATTTAACTAGGATAAACTGTTAATGATGTGGTACCTCGCAGTCCCCTGTGCTTCTTCTTCCATAACCATATCGAAGAATTCCCTATGTCGCAGAGGAATAACCCTTTCAACAAGTTTCCAAAGAGCAAATTTGGTCTCAATTCGCATAAGGGCCTTCAATATATTCAAAGTGCTCGGCTGACTCCAACCATTTTTGAGAAGTTCTGTTACGGCTGACGGCTTAACAGGGAAAGAAAAAAATTATCCTTAGAACTATTTTCAATTTCACAAAATTAACGTAAAGACATCCAAATTACCTGTTAGTTTTCACAGAAAAATAACTCGAAGATTTTGCTAGAACACGTTTTCCCTTAAAAAAATGTCCGTCAAAAACTTTCCCACCTCTTCACTTTCTGCAGCGAGGAATTCTTCGCAATGGTCCTTGCTTTTCACAGACTTAAGAAAGGTAAAAAAACTCTGAAAATGCAGAAACGTAGAAATAATACCCTTTATATAAAGTATATTTTCAAAACAAAGTGCTATGAAGTTAGAGAAAAAAGACAACTTCCGACCTTTAGTTAATTCCGTTCCAAAAACAGAGGTAAAGCTATTTCCACCCAACACACTACTACCTAGGTTTAGAGTCATCTATCTGAAAACTTGCTAATTCTCTGAACCAGTTCTTGGCAACCAAAACTTCAAAAAACCAAAAAACGGTGTGATGGCTGTCTTTGATTAACAGACTCATTCGTTTCACAAGTGATCAGGTTGCTTTCCAGAATGCCAAAAAAGTAGGTAAATAATTGAAAAAAAGTTCCTCAACAGCTTACTACAATTATGTATTCCAGCAACGAATCATGGACTTTACACTTCCAGCGACTAATCTCGGCATTCTTAGACTCATAAACTGGATAATAGTTCAGAACTGCCAAAAATACATCAATTATAATGGTATTATCGAACCTGAAAAGGGATATACAAAATTCCAAGACATAAACATAAGTTAAGTCGAACAAGTTAAAACAACTTTTTAAAAAATAACTGCTCCGCAAGCATTCTGCGCCCAACAACCGGCATTCCATTGGAACTGATGACTTCTGCAGCACTATCGATCAAATCTTTTACATCGGTAACAGAGAATTTCTTCAACCGTTTTGCGGTCATGTTACTTCAAAAACAACTATTAGAACAAAAAATACCGATAAGTTAAACATTGAACACATCAAAATATTTTGTAATAAAACTGTTAACATATTTCTAAATCCACAAAAAAAAAAAAAAAAAAAAAAA